CTTGAGCTCGGGAGTTCAAGGCCAGTCTGGGCCACACAGCAATTTCCTGTCTCAAAACATAAAATAAACAGTAAAAAAAATGCAAATTTGGTACCTTGCACTATTGAGGTCCCACGTCTAACATCCGTCTCCGTGGGCTAAAGGGAAGGTGTTGGCAGGGCTGGTCCCTCTGGAAGCTSGGGAGAATGATTCCTTCTCTCCAGACGTCTCTTTACTCACTCTGATTCCCTGTCTCTCTCTGGTAAGGACCCTGGTGATGGCATTAGGCCTACCCAGATGATCCACGATGATCTCCTATCTCAAGACCCTCAGCTGGGTCACACCTGCAAAGTCCCTTTGTCCTAYACCGTCACGTCCACAGGTTCTGGGATGAGGAAATGGACATCTTTGGGATCACTGTCCAGCTGACCACACACCCATCTCCTGCCTCTCAGTCACAGTTTACTCTGGCCTGTCCTCTCGAGGCCCTGCTAGCCTGGCGGGGACGGGTGTTTGTGGGTGGCCCGATGATGCCTGGCTCCCCACCTGCCGCCAGTCACCGTGGTGCCCTGGGGCCACAGCAGTGTACCCATGGTGTTTCCATCTCCTCACTCCTGCCTTCTTTCCTCCCCAGCATAGTGAGTGCCAGGAGGCCAGTGTGTCAGCAAGCTGAGAGGGAAACTGAGGCAAGATGTCGGGTCGGAGCGGGAAGAAGAAAATGTCCAAGCTGTCCCGGTCAGCCAGGGCCGGGGTCATCTTCCCGGTGGGGAGGCTGATGCGTTACCTGAAGAAAGGRACGTTCAAGTACCGGATCAGCGTGGGCGCCCCCGTCTACATGGCCGCAGTCATTGAGTACCTGGCAGGTAAGTCCAGGTCCGCCGCTCCCAGATCCCCACCTCCAGGGGCCCCTTTCACCCTGGCCGTGGAGGGACCCTATGAATCACCCTGAGCCTGGCTCAAGGCTACGGTGGGAAGTGACAGGGTATTGCCTGGCCTGCTTGGCCCGGGGCCTAGGAAGGATGGGTGGTCAGCATGGAAGACCAAGAACCCACAGTTAGCTTGGCACKGTGGCACATGCCTGTCATTCCAACGGCTTGGAAGGCTGAGGCAGGAGGATTGCAAGTTCGAGGCCAGCATCAGCAAAAGTGAGGCCCTAAGCAACTCAGTGAGACCCTTGTCTCTAAATAAAATACAAAATACAGCTGGGGATGTGGCTCAATGCTTGAGTGCTGTTGAGTTGGATCCCAGGTACCCCCCCCTCAAAAAAAAAAATGAACCCACAGTTAAATGGCTCTTCCAGGTCTGTACCCTGCAGGTGTGTCTAGATTTTAAGCAAATGCAATACCGTATTCCACCACAGAATTGTCACCATGTCATTAACATATATTCACGGGTATTCTGTGCATCCTAATCTTGCACCAAAGACAGTTTAGTAATAAATGGTTTTTACTTAATCATTTAAGTGTTATTTAATACTGACGCTTCTTTTTTTTTAAAAAAAAAAAAGCTTCACATAATGATTGCATCTCCTATTTTTGCAAAAATAAAATTTTTTTAGACACAATCTGAAAGGATTCTGTGGTGAACTATGATATGTAAATATGTAGGCTCCTGAAGAAGACACTTCAGGGAGAATTTTATTATCAGGGATTTTCCCTTTATATCAAATTGCTCATTAAACATCAGTTTTCCTGGTATATTTAAATTAGGGCTCAATGCCTATCAGTAACAGGTACCTGAACATCAAAAGCATCTTCATGTGGTTCTATAAAGCCAATGTAATGTTTGAATTTTGTCCTCTATTGAGGCAGTTCTCTGTCTTTTGTGGGCACACAGGAGATAATTTCCATATCTGTGGTTAAATTATTTGTTTTTGCTAAGAAACAGATTTTTACTATGTGTGTTCTTTCTTCCTATTTAACTTTTTGTTACTTTTCTCTTATGTAATAGTTAAATCAAAACCAAGCTTCACAATATCAGAAATGTTTTTTTAAGAAATATATAATATATTAAAAATATAAAAATTAATAAGTRTGATTAGTTCCTCATGGGGTCATTTTATCCATGAGCAACACTGTTTCTAACTTTGCCCAAGATTGATAAAATACCTGGACACCAAGAATAAGTGCCTGGTAGGATAAAAAGCCAGACTGCCTGGCAGGACGTGGTGGCTCATGCCTATAATCCCAGCAGCTCAGGAGGCTGAGGCAGGAGGATCACAAGTTCAAAGCCAGCCTCAGCAACAGCAAGGCACTAAGCAACTCAGCGAGACCCTGTCTCTAAATAAAATATAAAATAGGGCTTGGGATGTGGCTCAGTGGTTCAGTGCCCCTGAGTTCCCTGGTCCATCCCCCCCACCCCCACCTAAAAAAAAAAAAAAAAGCCAGACTCTGCAAACTGTCCCTGGCAAGCCCAGCCCCTGCCCTGTACCATGCAAACCCCAGGGAAGGTCCCTGCTTCCTGTTTTCTTTCTTTCTTTTTCTTTTTTTTTTTTTTTTTTTTTTTTTTTTTTTTTTTTTTTTTTTTTTTTTTTTGTTGTTGTTGTTGTTGTTGTTGGTAGTGGTGGTGGTCCTAGGGAATCAAACTAGGGCCTCACTCATGCTAGGCAAGGTTGACTCTGCCACTGAGCTACATCCCCAGCCCCTGTTTCCTCTTCCCTCTGGTCCCTCCCTCAGGAGGATGGCCTCCCCTCCTAGCCACTCCCCAGTCCGCATTTGCTGAACAGTCTGCCTTGGTCCATGCATGGACACATTCTTCCTGGGAGTTTCCCACAGGCAGGCCTCAGCACCTGACCTGTTGTGAAATGAAGGCCCGTTCCTGGGCTGAACACCTTTCTGGATCCTCCAGGAGTTGGAGAAACGCCTTGGGGGGCTCCAGGACTCAGCCCATCAAGTGCTGCAGAGAAGAGCTTTTCMAAGTGGGGACCCCACAGGAGTCACATTGATAAGGTTGAGACTCCAGTAATGCTGCTGCTGCTCCAGAGACCACACTTGGCGTAGCAAGACTGCAGCCACCCTCTAGCCACAAGCCCACAGACCTGGGGGAGGCTTGTTTCAAATGCAGGTCTATCTCTCTGTGTCCCCAGGTGGTCTGAGTCACTGAGTCTGAGATGGGACTCAGAAATCAATGGGAGCCAGGCCTGGTGGCACACGCTATAATCCCAGTGACTTTGGAGGCCCAGGAAGAGAATAGAAAGTTCAAGGCCAGCCTCAGCAAGTGAGCAAGGCCCTAAACAACTTAGCAAAACCGCTGTCTCAAAATTAAAAAATAGAAAGAACTGAGTATGTAGCTCAGTGGTAGAGTGCCCTGGGTTCAATCCCCAGGACCAAAAATAAAAAAATAAAAGAAAGAAGGGCTGGGGCTGGGGCTSAGCGGTAGAGCGCTCACCTAGCTCGTGAGAGGCACTGGGTTCCATCCTCAGCACCCATCCAAATAAATAAAAGAAAGAAAAATTGATGGGGAAATCTAGCTCAGGAAGGGAGTGAAGGAACTTTGAGGGAGGTCTATGAAGTTTCAAAACAACCCACTGAGTCTAGAAGACACTAAGCAACTTGAAGACTCCCTCAGCTTCCAAGTGGGGAGCTGGGATTCGGGGCCTTTGACCCCAGGCTGTGTACTATTTTGCTACATGACACACTGCCCCAGTGTTTTTATAAATGAAAATAATTTTGCTTTTCCTATGTCTCCACTTGGTGCAAATACAAAATCTGGCCTTTTGGATACTGGCCTCTCTATTCTTTGGTTCACCGTGTTAGATGGGAAATGTTGAGTTTTCCTACTCCACAGTATTTGCTGAGTCCGCGTTCGTTAATCTCCACACATCAGCGCCCACAGCAAGGCCTTGGCGGGTGAGTCCTGGTGGTAGAACTGGGCCATTGATGCTGGGCAGGCAGGAGAAGTGAGAGAAGAGATCAGGTGAGCAGAGCAGGATGCCATGTCCATGACATCCTTCCCCCAGCCAGTCCCACAATTCATCCCTGCCCTCTGCCCTGGGGAGAGGACCTGTCCTCTCTGTGGGACCTGTGTTTTGTGCCTTTCTCCCCCACCRGGTATTAGGGATTGGATCCAGGCAAAGACTTGTTAGGCAAGCACTCCATCACTGAGCTACACCCCTAGCCCTTGTAAGTTTATTAATTTTTAAAAATTTAGAGACAGGGATTTGCTAAGTTGTTAAGGTTGGCCTAGAGCCTGCGATCCTCCTGCCTCAGCCTCCTTGTTGGGATTACAGGCATCAGCCGCCCCACCTGGCTCCTTGTGCCTTTTCTCCCCTCTAAGCTTAGGATGGCATTGGAGATCACAGACTTAGATGTCACTTCAAATCCAGATTTATCCAGGAGTTGAGGTTKCGGCTCAGCGGTAGAGCACTTGCCTAGCATGGGTGAGGCCCTGGGTTCGATCCTCAGCACCACATAAAAATAAAATAAGTAAAATAAAGGTATTTTGTCCAACTACAACTAAAAAAAAAAATATATCCAGATTTGTCCATTTGTTAACTGTTACCTGACAGTTGTCCATTTGTCAACTRTTACCTCAACCTCTCTGAGCTTTGGAGTTTTCCAGAGCCAACTCATTTAACTTAATTAAGTGAGGTCAWGTATGTACATTGCCTGGTGCATAGAATACACTTCATAAACAGTACTTCTTCTCTTCCCTCTTTTAAGTGTTGATAAAATCATTCGGGACACAGTACAAATGACTAATTCTGTTAAGGTGGTGTATGCTTGAGCTGAATTTGCATTTTCATGGGACAAGGAGTTTTAATTCAAATTCCACTGATTTTAATTATATTGGTGCAATTGCAGGCCACCATTGACTAAGTGAAAGGGAGGATTTTTGTTTGTTGATTGGTGCTATGAGTTGAACCTGGAATGTCCCCACTAAACCTCATGCGTTGAAGGCTCAGGCCTCCAATGCAGCAGGTAGGGCTTTGAGGAAATGACTGGACCATGAGGGCTTTAACCTCCACAATGGATTAATCCATTTGATGGATTGATAATTTGCATACTACTGAGAGGTAGTAGAAATTAGGCAGGGAGGGTATGATTAAAGGAAGTATGTCACTGGGAGCCATGCCCTTGGGGACACTGGTCCCCAGCCCTTTCCTTCCTCTGTTTCTGGCTGCTATAARCTACACTCTCTRCCACACCCTTCCACCAGGATGTTCTACCTTGGSCCGGAACAACAACCCAACCAACCACGGGCTGAAACCACAAGGCAAAATCTTTCTTCTGCAAAGTTGTTTCTTTCTGGCATTTTGGTCACAGMAATGAAAAGCTCACACAGCTAGTCAGTTTGTTTTACGAAGGGTGGAAGAAAGGGTGTCCAATGTGTATAAACCTCCTGTCACCCTTGAAATGACCTTCACATTCATGGAACCATCCTGACTGATGCTGCCTTTGGATCAGACCTTGACGATGTCGAGAAAACAGGCAGACGTGGTCCCACCTTTGCTGGGTCCACTGTCCGGCAGGGAGGACCAGCAGGAAGCACATCACAGGAGAGGAGGTCACACCGGGTGGGGAGCCAGAGGGCAGGGAAAGGCAGGGGTGGGACGATGCAAGGGCCCAGTAGGCTGTAACCGGGCTCCCAACTGTTTTAGTCAGCTTTTTCTCTGCTGTGACTGAAAGACCTGACCAGCACATCTGTAGATGAGGAAAAGTTTATTTGAGGACTCATGGTTTCCAAGTTCTCAGTCTATAGATGGCAGACTCCAATCCTCCGGAATTGAGGTGAGGCAGAACATCATGGAGGAAGAGTGTGGCAGAGGGAAGCAGCTCACATGATGATCAGAAGCAGAGAGAGAGGTCTCTGTTTGCCAGGTACAATTATATACCCCAAAGCCACRCCCCCAATKCCCACCTCC